CGAAAATGTATGGATGAAGTTAAAAAGAGATGACATTAACAGCATGTGTTTTAATTTGGATAGAATACAAAAGCTGTGAAAATGGTTAGTAGGAAAATAGAAAAAAGATGGCATAAAGAATATAGTCAAAAATATTGTAATAACTATGTATGATGTCAAATGGGTACTAGATTTATCAGGGTGATCACTTCATAAGTTATATAGATGTCTAATCATCATATTGTAAACTTGAAGCTAATATGATATTGTATGCCAACTGTAATTGAAAAATTCTTAAAAATTAAGAAAATAAATAAAAATAAATGACAAAATATGGGTTAGGACTAGATTTTGAAGAGCCGTGAATATTCATGAACTAAGAGTTTATTGGGGAAGTAAAAAATCTTGATGTCAAAAAATCTTTGATTCTGTAAAATATTTTACCAGTTTTGGGTTAAAGTATGACAGCAGGATGTGCTCACTGGAGATAATTTAGTATTAAAGTGTACTTTGGAAGTGACATCCATTGTTCACTAATTTATTCATTCCCCAAAGAATATTAAGTACTTAATATGTGCCAACTAAACACTAATGAACTAAAAAGACTTGACCTCTGGCTTTATATGAGCAGTGAAAATGGAGAGGATGATGGGATGAATTAAAAATTATGATGGAGGCAGAAATGACAGAGTTTAAAATGATTAGATATGAGAGCCAAATTATCCATCACCTGAGTGGGGTCATAATTGCCACAAATGAAAATCACAGAACTCTCCAGGGATATTAATGATTATAACCTATAAATGCAAGACTAAAAAAAAATTATTTCTAAAAATACTGAAGAAAAAAGAAAACCATTAAAGTTGAATAAATTTCAAAAATTTATAAAAGAATACAAGTAATTCTAATATAGGGAAAAGATATTCAAGTGGGTGGTAACTTCCGTCCTCAAGGAGAAATGTAGAGAAAAGCAAAATAAGCAAATGACAGTAACACAACTATTGTAAACTTCAGGGATTTAGAGCAATAAAATAATTTCAAATTTTAATGAAATGACAAAGAAACTCTTCAAGAAGAGAAATAGTCTGAGAATATTTTATGTACCATAAATAAAAGAGATATAGTTATAGTATGTGATGCAGTTTTATTCTGAACTTAATTACAAAGTTGAGAAGAAAAAGATATTTGGTGGGGAGTCATGGAACATGCTGGACCATAGCTTTAGTTTCTCTGTCCTCCCATGGATTCATTGCTAGTATACAAAATGCAACTCATTTTTGTATGTCTATCTTGTGTATCTTATATTCTGCAAGCTTGGTGAACTTGCTTATTAATTCTAGGTGTTCAGTAGATTCCTTGTGATTTTTTAAGCAGGTAGCTACAGGCATAACCTCCTTTTATTGCACTTCACAGATATTGTATTTTTTATAAACTGAGGGCAAGACCTTCCACTGAAGGCTCGGTAAATTATATACTTAGAAGATAAATTCCTAGCTTAACACTAAATAAATTCTAGCTCTGGCCAATAATATGTCATAATGACAGAGGTGTAACAACCATAAATCTCAATAATAAAATAAAAATAAATCTGTATGAGAGATTCCAGAGAAGGAGATATATATGTATTATACCAAAGGCTTGTGGAAAAAGCATATACTATAGGAGGAATACAGTTTAATATTAAAATCTTGACATTTATTATCAATTTGACATATATATAGTTTATACTTATTTTATTAATTTTAAATATTAAATTAAATGCAATATTTTCTGCTTTATTTAATTTGAACAGAATATGAAATAAATTGTTTAAGAGCTTATTTAAATGGTCTAGATTCCTTTTAAAAAGTGAATGGTTTAAAGTCTGAATGTTCGTCTTGTTTTTCTCTATACTAACTCAAAATGATATCAGGAATCTGAGCACTTGTCCCAAATTTTCAACTGTTCTTTATAAAGCAGTTAACATGACATCATATAATTTGAAACCTCATGAAGACTTTAGAATTAAAGGTGTAAACTTTTATATATCACCTCATTGTTCATTATATACTCTCCTACTTTCTTTCTCTGTGTCTCTCTGTCTCTCCCTGTCTCTCTGTTTCTCTGTCTCTCTGTCTCTGTTTCTCTCTCTCCACATCAGGTAATTTTGGCACAATCTCAAATTGAAATAATTAAATATTCTGAGTGTGGTTATGGTTCTAGTTATCTCCACATGATCAGAATCATATTAAAAGGTCAAATACAATCTACTGTAACCTACTAATTATCAACTACTATAACACACCATGGAAATTTTCAGACCACTTTTGTTGGTTTGATTCTATCATGGTTAGGTACCAGCATCAAAAAAATATCATTTCTATACATTCTAAAATGACTTAATAAATCTAAACAATCAACAACGAATAATGTTAAGACCAACACTATTTCATAGCCACATAAACATAAATGTAACCTAGAGCTGGAAAGTAAAAGTTAGAAACTCTTGGCTAATAATTGACAATTAAAATCTCTTGACAGAGGTTGAATCTCAAGAACAACAATAATCTCCTAAATGATGAGTGTTACTATGGATTACAGCTTGCATTTCCTATTCAATCTGCCTCTTCATTGTCTTTAATTTAATCACCAGAAATACACATTGACTTTATCTGTATGCTCGTTTTTCATAAAATAAAGGTTTGAAAATTATTTACAGAATTTATTGCATCAGCTCTGATGAGTAATAGAAAATCCACAAAGTAACACATGCTGCACAGCCAGAAATGTTTTTCTTTAGCTAAGAGGCTCACTTTCAGAACTCATATTTCAGCACAGATCACTAAAACTCATGACTTTGTATAGCAAATGACAAATTAACAGCAAATGTTAATTTCATTAATCTTTAAGGGATTGTCGTATCTGAAAATATGCTTTGCCTTCAGGAAATGACTTTATCATCCTGTGCACCTCTGAGTGCTTATGGTCTGGTCTAGTTGTAGATGTTCCAAAGGGCCACCCAGAAAATATATTCAGCTTATCTCTGTTTTCTACTCTTGACTTTTTTTTTTTAAATCTCCTTCATATGACCTAGGTTGATTTCTTAAGTGAATCAACATTCTCCAATGCTGACGTTATGTCATATTTATTCATTTGATTGCCATCTCTTGAGCTTTTGTTATATGTCATTCAGTGTGCACATGGAACTGTGCACTACTGCAACCTCTTCCCACCTGTATGTGAAACAAAGCTCAGGTAAACCTTGGACATCTACAATAGTCTCAGGACCTTCTAACTTTGTCTTCCAGCCTTGTCCAGCCGTATCGTACCCTTTATATTTCTGATAGATCTGGAGCTAGCTTTCTGTGTTCCAACAAAAAAAAAACTTTGATTATTTTTGAACAAGTACTATGCATCAGGTACTGAGGATGTAGTAGTGAAACAGTCACAGCTATTAAATATTTATAATGTAAGGGAAGAGATACTGCAAATTAAAAGGGAAAAAATGCCATGTCTTGATACATTTAGAGATATATGCTACTTCAGAATGTTATCAGACACCTAGAAGGACCCCTACTTCATTTCTGGGGTGTCTGAATGCTTTTAGTCACTACAGCACATATCAAAGATAAAATTATTACTATTGATATGTAGATAAAATTGGATTGAATTGTCGTTTATGTATTCTGTATATGCAAATCCATAAAATAAATTTTTGGAAAAAAATGTGCTCCATGAATTAATATTTAAATTAACAGGATGCCCCTTCTATGCCCAGGTCTGAGGACTAGCCCCTGCCACTATAACTTCTCTTCTATGACACGTAAACTCACTGCAAATGAAATAGAGGTTCCCAGACTCAGTGGTATCCCAGAGGCCCGGAGTCCCAAACTCCATTATTCCATGATGAAATAACCTTAACATTTAAGAATAACCTTCTAGAAACAATGCCTCTTGTCTTTCAGATTTATTTTGGCCTCAGATTGGTCAAGTGATTTCAGATGGGCATTCTGGTCACAAGGAAGGGCACTGATACCATGGTGCAGCCAGCCTCTAAGTGTAGCACACGCAGCAGGTAATTTTGTGTCTCCAAATAGAATGATGAGTTTACATTCAAAAGCAACAGTAATATTTTAAGGGGGTCACAGTTCATAAAGTGCTTCTACCATATAATTTCATTCAATCCTCTCTACACTTCTGAAAGTTCAGATGAGAACTTATATTCTGAATGAGTAAATAAATTGCCAAGGTCAGATAACTAGTAAAGGCAGAACCTCCTAACAGCAGACCCTAGCTCTTCCAGAATGTTTTCTACTTTAAGGCCTTTGATGGTAGGAGGGAAAGTGTATTTGTCACAGTGACATTAAAGTCTAAGAAGGAATGAACAGCACCATGTCTTGAAAGAATTCAGTCTTATATTTCTGAATGAAAATATCAACATCACCATTTCTAATATGAGACAAATTTCTTATTGATTTCTTCCCAAATTTTAGGGAAAAAACAAAACAAAACACTAAACCATGAGCCAGAACAACTGAGAAGATAAACAAGAGTTCAGAGGAGGGTGGAAATTTAAGAATAACTTTTTTGGAAATGAAGTCAGATAAAGCAGTAATTCCTAAGAGGCTTCTTTGACTCCATCCCCGCTCCCCCCAAAAAAGATAAGAAAAGTATGTGTTGTGCCTGTTACAAATTATCTACAACCACAGAGATGAAGAGAACATCCAAACACAACTATTCAGAAATGCGCTGACAAAAACTCAGAAACTCACTGGCAGAGAACCTTGGACACTAGAATCTTGTGTATTGAAGACTTTGGCATTAGATAGAAAGGACGAAGTTATCTGTATCAGTGTAATGTGAGTTTCACCCAAGCTCTCCTTCCTCTAGTTCAACTTATTATCGCAATGAAAATCCCCTTGTATGTAGCTATTATCTGATATTGTACTCTATATTTGGAGAGTTATTTAATATTTTATTTTAATTTAGTTTTTCCAATCTGTGTAATAAGGGCATGTTACTTGGGGGGGAAAAAAAAAAACTTTTTCTCTGAGAGCTTTGATTTTTTGAATTTCTACTGAAGAATTGCTGAAATCCTGAGTAAATTTTCTTTTTGTGAGGAGTGTCGCATTTCTACCATCTTTATCCATGTACAAATTATCTTGTTGCCTATTTATAAAAGAAGCAAATAATATGCCGAAAAATAGAAGTCACATGTTGATAAAAAAATTAACAAATATTCCTTAGACATTTGAAGCATAACGAGGCATTGTAATTGCCGTTCTGTGTGATCATAAAAAAAAAATGTGCATGGAATTAGAATTTAAAATTAAATGGCATACAAGAAGATAATCCAGTGTCACATTTTCTTCACATAGTTCATTTTAAATAAAGAAGTATTTCCTATGAAATAAAGGGAATGTCATGTTATATTACATATATGTTTGACATATTTAGATCTCAAAGTATGTCTTTTCTAATTAATTTTTCATTTCACTTTACACAATGAACAACTGTGACAAATTAAATATTACATGTTATGTAGCACCCAGGTATAAAAGTCCCTCACTCTATTTCAAATTCATGGCAAGAATTAAGTTAAGATAAGGATATTATGTCTGACAATAACAATTTTCAGATGCAAAATAGCTCAGTATTGTAGATAATAAAAAAAATAAAAAGTCTTGAGTAGAGTTTAAGATCTGTTTCTTAGAGCTTAACTGAAGTTCTCAAAAGACAGGTAAATAACAAGTTTAGAAATTGAATTGAAAGTTCCATCTATCTATGATTATCATGTGCTATTAAAAATATATTTATACAAATTTAATTTATTTGACATGTTATCTGTGTGTCAGGTTTTTATTATTTTTTCTAAATTTTGTTAAAATTTTTTTCTTGTGAAGTCACTGTAACTTCAAAATTGTTCTACTTTGTCCTGCTTGCTATATTTCTATTGTTCAGTAAGAAAATGGCTTGCCAGAAACATTACATCCTATATGCTTATAAAATAATTTCTAAATCAGGGACATGTTTTAAATCTTACATCAGAGAAGAAATTTAGAAAAGGGAATCATTGAAAAATAATAAAAGTTTCCAATGCCAGTGCCTTAGTCACTAAACTGTATGTCCCTTAAGACACTGAATTTTTGGCACATGAATCAATATAGTGCCCACATGCCAGCTTCCACTATGGTGCTCTGTTAAAGTCAATTCAAGTGTACAAGTGTTGACAGGGATAACATTAATAAAATTTGATAATTTTAGTTAAAATGATTTGATAATTTTGTTTTCATAATGTTCTCTCCTATAAATCCTCATTGTCTAATCAAGAAGTATTTAACTACAAAATAGTCTGGATGATTGCATAAAGAGATAGTCAAGATTTAAAGTACAGAATGTAAGAACATGAAGCATGGCTGATGTTGGCAAAACCAAATGTGCAAGATGATATTCACAGTTTAACAAATATGGGTATATGTCATGTATCAGCATTACGCTGAGATAGGTGTAAGGGTGTTTTCAGTAGGCTACTCACATTCTTTCTGAAAAGATTGGTTGATAAGCAAGGGTGAGATACCATATTAGAAAGTCAAATAAGAAAGCAATGACTTCTGCCTGAAGGCAGAGTTGGGGATAAGTTCAGAGAAACTATGAAGAGGATTGTAGTTCTTTGTCCATTTCAAGGATCATGTAGTAACGTCTACTCTGCACCAGGCAGTAGCCTAAGTACTGGAGTCCTCTTCATGTCACTTAATCCAGTCAGCAGTGTTAAGAGACACTTTATATAGTGTTGTTTTTCAGATAAGAATACATGTCCATGTTATATAGCTATTAAATTAGACAGCTGGAAGGCAAATCAGGATTTTAAAAATTAAAAAAATCCTTTCCTAACCACTACATGGAATGTTTTCCATTCATTAAGTGCTGAGGGTGATTTTAAGCATGGCTAGATTTGTGTTTTAGGCACTGAAAAAGGAGAAAAGAGAGACAAGGATAAAGATATTATTGAAAAGAAAAAAAGATGGATATTATGGATGTTGCTATAATTCAAATCGTTATTTAAAATATGAAATTCATCATAGAGTTTGAAAGAAAGGATAATAATATTATACGAGTTACACTGATTTTAATTCATGAATAGTGTATTGAAAGAAAAGCTCAATTTGTAACCAAGACAGGGTAAATGCAAGAAAGATGAATGTGCAGAGAAAGGTAAAAGAGAAATCATATCCAAGTGATTTGTGTGCATCAGTTAAGGGGATTTGACCCTCTTTGGTCTAAACAACTATGATACATTTTAGTACAACAGACCAATCTACGAAGGGTTACTGAAGTATGAGTAGTTATAAGACAAAACAAAGCTCTTATTATTTTTTTGTCAGGTTAATGATAAAAGGAACTCCCAGTTGCAAGGTTTGTGTTTGAGTACAAGTTTGGTAAGATTGGCAGGAGGTTAAACATAAAATTAACCAATCTTAAGCTGACTTACTGAGGCAATATGTAAGCAGAACTCTGATGAAGCCACCATTATTTTCTAGTCTTAAGAGTTTAGATAATAATATACATTAGTTGTATATTATTAAACAATTAATGGCTGTAGGGCAGGATAGAAGGCAGCAATGGGTGTTTTATCTATGCCATACACTTGTTGATATGACTGGAAGAGCCAGATCCTCATTAACGTCTTATAAGGAACGAGAAATTGCCCACGAATATGTGGGTACAACATGCATTTCTAATTTGTACTGATGAAACATCTCACCTAGTTGAATCAATTACAAACCAAATAAAATACCAAAATCAATAAAGGACCAAGTGACCGTTCTCTGCCACCTGAATTATTTGAAGACAGTTTTCACTGGGGCCACCACTCCTAGTCAACATTCTAATCACCTTGCTGGAAGAAACACCAGGAACACACAAAATAGATTTGCTTTCTTTAGCCTAGATATGAAGGGCTTTCTCTAGCTGCCTCAATCTTCTTTTATAGAACATTCTTGCAGAGTGTTCTTTATCCCTAAGTATTGAACACTCCAGGTCATTTATCCCCACCAACTTTAATGCTCTCCAAACATTTCTTACTTCTCTTTGCTCTGATGACTTTGCTTATCGTACTTTCATACTGTAAGCCCTCAATCTCTATCAAATTTTTAATCTATCCTTCAAGATATCTCCTCTGTATAGCCTGTCTAAGGTCTCAGTAAGAATTAATCCTCCTTGTTGTTTACTATATTGCATCCTAATTGGATTTCTTATTAGTACTTATATGAGCATTTTTGTTAAATGAGTTAATATTTGTACAGTGTTTAAAAGAATATTTGGTATATAGTGAGCACCATAGGAGCATTAGCTGTTCTGTCTTTTATGGAATGCCTTTAAAATGTTAGGTACTGTATTAATATTAATATAATATAAATAAATATATATTTACATATATATTCCCAACATAACAAACCCATAAAGTAAGTATTATTATACCCATTTTATAGCCAAGGAAACTGAAACTCAGGAATTTTATATAACTTGTATAGTTATGAAGCAGAATATGAATCTGTATGCCTGAATCTAAAACTTTGCCCATCTCTTCTATCACACAACACTATCTCCTCTTGTAGACTGTAAAGCCTACAAGACAGGGACGACGTCTTATTCATATTTATATACTTCACAAGTTCCCACTTGTTATTAAGGAAATGGCCTCCAGAAATGTATTTTGAATTTGACTGAATTATACTACATAAGAGCAAGCTGTGAAAGACAAAGTCTTTATGGATAGTGCCTTCAGTGGCACCTAACCTATGAGGCTGTGAATTGCAGTCTTTATGCTGGTACTTTGATTACACAAGTGACTATTGAACATATAAAAAGAGATATTAGATATATCTACGCACAAGTCAATGTTTCTATCTTCAGAAGCTTCCAAGTCAATGGAGAGGAGAAATTTTGTAAAGTAACTATATATGAAGCTAGAATATAAGTCACAAGAGAAGTCCTAAGAGATCTCAAAGGAATATGATTGACATTTCCTAATTTCCTAAGAGTTGAAAAATTTTCCATCTTGGCCACAAATTAAGCCTTCCTTGCAATGCACTATACATAAATTAAAATCAACTTAATTTGATAAATGTTACCTTTTTTTACAAACAATATGCTGAGTTTTATGTTTTTGAAAAGAATTTGAAAAACAAGAACATGTATAATGTGATTTAAGGAATCAAAAATAACATCTATGATGTGCAATTTTCTGCACTTTACTGAGAAAAACTTATTGCCAAACATGCCCTGGATATGCTGTTACAGAGTGAAAGAGAACCCATATATATTACAGAATTTATCTATGTATTTGTTCCTCTTTACAAAATTTGTAAATGAGTCAACTATGGTATTTATACATCCCCTCAAAATGCATATTTGAAACAAATCTATACTAGATAAACTAGAAAATTTAGATATTTCTTTACATACCTAATAGTTACATCACTGAAGTCTATACTTTTCTCTTCAAGATAGCTGTACTGACCAGAGAGTTTCTTTTGAGATTCTTGTGTGAATGCTCTAAACTGCCCTCTACTCTTATAGTCTGTGGGGGGAAAGATGAACATGAACATTGTGAGAGATGGAGTTCCACCTTCCTGTCTACATTATTTCTTTGAGAGAGGAGAGAGAGAGAAACAGAGAGACAGAGAGACAGAGAGAAACAGAGACAGAGACAGAGAGACAGAGATTCAGTTAGGGTTGATACTAGGTCACATATTTCTAGTGTCCTATGGTTGAATTTGTTTTTACTAAAGCACATGAGATAAGGCGGTTTGCAAAAACTTTAGAGCTTCCACGGGAAAAACAATGCTGAATCTGAGTAAAGACAAGGATTACAGAGTATGTTATTTTATTGGCTAAAGGATTCGACAATGTGGAAAGGATCAGAAGTGTTGTGGGTGGAATGCTTAAAATTTTGAACAATTTGAACCTTATCCATACCTGCTACCAAATAGAGATTTGTTTTTAAAATGACCTCTACTGCTCAACAATGTGCATATAGTTAACATTACTGTATTGTGCACTTAAAAATGGTTAAGATTAAAAAAATGATTAAGATCATAATTTTATTTATTTATTTTTAAATATTATAAAAATAGACTTTTTAATTTAATTTTATTATTAGTTTCAAGTACACAGTACATTTGCTAGACATTTATATAGTTTATAAAATGATCACCCTACTTTCTCTTCAGATGTTTCATTTTAGCTTACATCAACTATTAATGTGTGCTTTTTTAACCTTCTACTACTTTCTTCCAGCCCCCCAATTCCCCTCTTCTGGATTGTCACCAGATTGTTCTCTATATTTGTGAGTCTGTTTTTGATTAGTTTGTTCTTTTAGTTCCCTAGATTCCTCATATAAGTGAAATCATATGATATTTATCTTTCTCTGTCTGACTTATTTTATTCAGCATAATAACTTCTAGGTCCACCCATGTTGTTGAAAATGGTAGGATTTCATTTTTTAATGGTTGAGTAATATTCCATTGTACATATGAACCATTTAAAAATGTTTTATTAGTTTCTGGCATACAGCACAATGGTTAGGCATTTATATAATTTATGAAGTGATTCTCCCAGTTACTCTTGTACCCATCTGGCACTATACATAGCCATTACAATATTATTGGCTATATTCCTTTTGCTGTTGTATATTTTTTTTAACACAACAAAAAGATATAAGAATGATATGAAAAACTTTGTGAACATAAATATAAAACTTAAAAAAAAAAAGTCCTGTAAATTTTATCTGAAACAGATGGACTGGAAGTAAAGATATTTTCATGGAAAAAAAAATAATAATATAGGGACAAATTCTAGGTATTTTCACTGTAAACATCTTTGCCTTAGAGATGTTTGCTACACTTTGCCGTGTAACTAATTAGCTATAAGACAGTTTTGCAGTTAAAAAAAAAAAAAAGATAAAATCAAGAAAAATTAAAGAGGGGCATTAAATAAAGACAAAATTGAAAGAATTATTGCAGAATACAAAATATTTGAATACATTTAAAATGTGCGTAGATTCATGGCAATACTGTGCAAATAACTTATTTTATTTTGTGGATTGTAGATAAGTTTTGCCTTTGTCCTATGGGAAATGTAAGTTACACTCTGTGCCCTCAAAGAGGGCCCTCTACCTCTTCTTCTCCTCCCAGGGTAGTGTGTCTCATAATAAGAAACCAACTCTTGGGACAAATCGTTGTCATCTGGAAAAAATGCTATTTTAAGACCACCACAGCTGCCACGTCTACACATCACTGAATAGGTCATCATGAGGGCTAGATAAGATTTATGTATAATATGAAAATGGGAGTAACTGAGAGCTCTTTGTCAATAAAGAAATAAAAATGAATTGATAAATTAGCTTAAATACATTAAGTATATCAAAGGTGTGATTGAGTCATCAATAGAAAATGAAACTAAACAACAGCAGAAAACAAACAAATAAACCTGTGAATTAGTTATTTTATCTATTTTTACAGCAAAATGGCCTTATAGCCCATTAGTTGTGTGGCAAAAATTTTTTGGCAAATTTTTTTGGCAAAAATGCTTGATTCAAAGATATCTGAGGCAAAGATGCTTATGACAAAAATACCAAACTTTGTAAGAACCTACCTTTCCACACAGTAAAATCATTATATATAAAGATCAAAAAAAAATTAAAAAAAGGAGTTGTTAGTACTAATGGAAAATATTAGATCAAAATGTTATAAAAATCTCAGAGCACCTAACTATGCTTTCAAATCTAAAGATTATATTGGGCAACCTAAATTGGAGGGGATGGAATGATTACTTTATAGATTTCAGTGTTGGAGAATTAGCAAATTATTTTTTAGGAAAGGGAAGTAATGAGAACTTAAATATTTATCTTAACATATGCAAATTAAATTTAAGAAGAGTATTTTTCATGATAGATTGTTAATCAAACATGAAGATGAACTTTAAGCAGATTTTTAAATAAAATTAACTGCAAATGCTATAAAGTTAGACATAAAATAAAAGTAAAATTTGATGTTTTTATCTAATATGAACTCATCAATATTAAAAGATATGAGAAATAGGTTGAAATTAAAACAACTCAAAATCATAACAGTGATGTGTCTAGAATTTTGGATGTGGTTATTATGTCTTTTTTTCCTAGCTCTACCTTTTATTTTGTCCCAGTTTTTAATAAAATAAATCATTGTTTTTTAATCCAAATCTATTCATTGAAGAAAAACACAGCTTTTTGTAAAATTTACAAGTTATCATTTTGTTATCTATCGCCATAATTAAATAAAGGATTTCCGGAAATAGAAGTAAGATAGAATGAGTTTTTCAAAACCTGAGTCACTTCAGCAACCCAAGACCTGGAACAGATGAGATATTTCAGACAATCAAGGATCACCATAAAAATACTGAATTCCTGGGGACAGAGTTATTTAAGAAGGGAGACAGAATCATGGCAATGAAAAACTACCTCAGCTGGTCAGCTTTGCAGTGAACTGGTGGGAAAGGTGTGCCACTGAAAATGTTTCTTGTGTTACTTTTATAACAATGGAATGAAGACGTTATAGATAAAACTATACATTATGCTAATGGATCCATAAGTGTCTACTTTTACATTATAACCTCAACCTAGTACCTTATCAATCAATAATCCATATACATCTGCTAATCTGGGTAAGAAAAAAAAAGAAACAAAAGAGTAGAAATAAAACTAAAAAGAATACAGCTAAATTTCAATCATGTAATGAAACAGTATTTCTATTTATGAATAGTATATTTCTGTCAATAAATATTTATGTAGAACTTAAGTTAAAGTATTGCATAAGCAGTGTAGGAAAATAAAAATGAATAAGTCGTGGTTCTGATTTTGAAAAGTTTGCAAGCAGTTAAACACAACATTTCCAGTTAAGTCAAATTGCTCCCCTTCTAATCCTCATATATAGAGAAAAAATATAGAGAGAGAAAATGTGTTGTAGATCAACATTTACTATCTATTGTCTCTCACTTATTTTTTGGAAAGCTAGAATTTTAGAATTTATTTTAAATCACTAGTAGCATATGCAAGGTCATATGCATAAAACCTAACAGTAAAGAATAATGCAGGCAATGTGATAGGTATATAGAGATACACACAAATGAAGAGAAATACTGACAAGCACCTCACCCAACCCTTATTCCACCAGAGAATGAGTGCTGAGACTTTCCACTGGTGGCAAGACTTGAGTGGGCAACCTGCTAGTATAGGAATGACCATGAAGCACTTTTAATGTGACAGCTGTTTTATTTCTGACATTTTTTTTTTAAATTTGCCTTGGTATTTATTACTAGTTACTACTGAAGAGGCAAAGTATCCTTGATTGCTGAATTTTCTGCTTTTATGCAAAAAAACATTTAAATTGAAACAGTATGTTAATTTGGTAGATGCATTTTATTGATTTTATATTCATGCATGTATAACATATAAATATATACATACATATATATCTGTGTATATACATGTTCACACTTTGTTCTTAGGCTTAATATGAATTATCTATTTGAAACTTTACAGTAACCTGTGGTAGATATTATTGTTATCCATACTGTTAACTTGAGGAAATTAAGTCACAGAGAGGTTATATTGCCTTCACCAAAGTACTACAGCTTTTTAATGGAAAAGCCAAAATTCGAGTCCAGACAGTCTGACTCGAATGTCCAACCTCTTATTTACTACACTACTGCACAGATGAGAAAAATAGAAGTAATAAGATTAGCTCCTAGATTTCTTGTCTGTACACTTTCAGAAAAATAGTAATGTTATTTGTTGACTGACAGACTGAATGATTGACTGACTGAATGAATGAATGAGTTTAGAGTGGGAGATATTAAGGAAATGACTTAAATTCAGATTGGTCTAAGTATTGTCAAATTTCTGGTCTGTGTATGACTTGGGGGCATGAAATACAGTAAATAGTGTTATAAGACCCCATATATATGTTTATACGTATATATATGTATATATATAAATGTATATGTATACATATATATGTATATGTATCTATACACACAATGGAATATTAATTAGCCATAAAAAAAGAATGAAAACTAGAGGGAATTATAAGTGAAATAAGTTAGGCAGAGAAAGACAAATACCATGTGATTTCATTTATATGTGGAATCTAAAAGAAACACAAATGAACAAATGAAATAAAAACAAAAAAGACCCACAGATATAGAGAACAAGCTGATAGAGCGAATAAGTAAAAAAGGGGAAAAAAGAGAGAGACATTATAGCTAAAGAAGCAGCACATTAAAGCATACTTTTTTTTTTTAAAGGAAAGAGGCAAAGGGTTACAGACAAATGATTAGTTTAACCGAATCAGAAGATTCTAAAGACAGCAGGTTGCTTTAGAAATATGCCTGGATATTCCAATTTGTTGGAGTGGATTGACATTTCTTGAAGGGTAAACAAGTTCAAGTTGGGGGGGGGGGGTAAGCTACAGCAGCTCAGAAAATTATGCATTTTCAATGAACTGAATAAAACTGCAACTTTGGAGCACTGGTGTCCCAATG